GGTGGAAACCCCATTCTTGCAGTTTTTCGCAAACCTGCCGTAAACGCCTGTCATGGAGTTCCTGTTCTGGAGCCATGACAAGGATGTCATCCAAGTAGACTAGTACGCCTTCCAGTCCCGCCAGAGCTTGATCAATGGTCCGCTGGAAAATAGCCGGCGCTGTTTTGAGACCGAAAACCAAGCGGTTGTACTGATATAAACCGCGATGGGTGTTGATGGTAGTCAACTTCCGGCTCTCAGCCGTGAGAGGCAATTGCAGGTAGGCGTCTGCGAGATCGAGTTGAGTGAAGATGCGATTTCCGCTGAACCTGGACATGATCTCTTCCATGTTCGGCAGAGGATAGTCAACGTCGCGGAGAGCCTCATTCAAGCCCGTCGAGTAATCCGCACACATACGGATCTGACCATTGGCCTTCCGCACCACGACGATGGGTGTTGCCCAATCGGACGATTCGACCTTGTAGAGGGTACCGTTATCGAGTAGACGTTCGAGTTCTTTGTCCACTAATTCACGGATTGGTAAAGCCAACGGACGCGCCGGTAAACAGGTGGGAGCGACGTTGTCCTTCAACCGGAGATCAACTTCGATCTTGCTGCAGAGACCCAATGATGTTTCGAAAAGTTTCGGAAATTGAGTCTTCAAGGATGTGGAGTCGAGTTGAAAACGAGCAAGCTGAACGAGTGGCGACGGTGTGAGCAGCCCGAGAGAATAAGGTGCTTTTCCACCGAGCAAATCACCACTGTCCGTGGGCAGAACGATGACCCGATCTTGCATTCCAGACGAGTCTGCGGTTCCGAGCGACAAAGTAGCCGAGAAAAACCCTTTGACATCGATGGGACGGCCGTCAGCAGCAGAGCACTTAGATCTCAGAGGAAGCAGGCGAGGAGACCCTAACTTCTTCCATGTGGACGGACCTATGGCAGTGGCATCTGCCCCGCTGTCGACACGGAGTCCGTACTGGAATCCCGTTGATGGCGAGCGTGACGAAAGCGCGAGAACCATCGTGTTATCGGTCAGAGATGATAACCGGAGTCGCGTTCACTCGATTATTTCCCGTTGAAGCCATGCAAACCTTCTTGAGGTGGCCTTTCTTGCCACAGCCGTTGCATTTGCTTTTTAGGAAGGGGCATTGTGAGCGGAAGTGACTGCCTTCACAACCCTTGCACTTGGAATCGGGTTGTTGACGACTGCCGCGTGGTGGAGGACGAGCGGCCCGTTGTGAGGTTACCTGGTTGATGCTGACTGGGTTTTCGTCGACCGAGTTGAGGCCGATAGTCGCATCCTCTTGTCTTCTGACGTGTTGCTTTACTTTTTCTCGAAGCTCGAGTAGATCGATACCGGGTTTTTCGTCGAGAGTTCGAAGAACCACGCACGAAAATGATTGAACGAGGGACCCGTAGCCATCAGCAACGTCCAAGAATATCTTGAATTGATCTGCCGTAAGGTTGTTCACCTCGAATTCGTCGCCTTTGAGATTGCAGAGATTCAGAATCTCTTCCGGATGAGTTCCCGCAGGCGATCGGATGTTCAGTATGTCGAAACGACGTCGGAAGAGCGACTTCGTCGGACCGAAAAGTTGATTGAGGATTCCGAGCAGCTCATCGAATGTTTTAGATTCGGGCTTCGCAGGAGATACGTGGCAGCGGAGCCGCGTGTACTCCTCGGTGCCGAGCGCCTTGAGAAGGACCTTAGCTCGAAGACTCGGTGACTCGACGCACTCTTCGAGTATGCCTTGATTTCGACTGTACCACTCCGGAAAAGTGTTGTCGGCATCGGGCGCATAGTTGAAAGTACCGAGGAGAACCGTTGCATTCGTCAGAGCCGTGGACCCACGTTCAGAGCTCGGCTCTGTGGTTGAAGTGCTTTTCTCCTCCTTGGTACTCAACTTTGATAGAATACCTGTCAGGGTCTTGAGTATCTTCGAGAGATCTTCTGGTTGATCCACCGGCATCTTGTCTTCTTCCTGCACTAAGTCCGAAGCGACTGCGCCAATATTGAGTTCTGTGCTTAGAGGTAGGGAAGTAACGACGTGGCATCAACTGTCTGGACTACTGAATAACTTCTATAACGAAGTTATCAGCCTTTTTATTGGAACCGGAATCGATAGAGGGCGAGGAGGACCTAACATGCGATTCCCATGCAATGCCTATGGGGCTCCCCATCTGGCCTCAGTGGCAGATCCAGGGGGGCGACCGCCCCCTCCTCGAGTCGTTTCGCCCGGGCGACGGACTCTAACTTAACCGGGAGGTTTTCCCATTTAACTGACGGCCGAGACAGGGAGGAAGAGGGATCGTCGGCTTCGAGGATATTTCATAGATAAATTATATTTTAGAGAGCTTTAAAACACACCTCATCACCAAATTGTGCAGAACGAATACTTTATCCATGGCTCGAAAAGCCAAGTTTTCTTGACCCCCCCCCCGTCGGACCAACTCTGGATCCGCCCCTGTCTAGCCTACCGGTCGGCGATGATCGGTCAGAGTTTTAACGTTACTCGGTTTTATTGAGCTCCATCGAGAATAGAATCTGCGTCTTCTCGCGGTGCTCTGTCGAGAGTCACGATGATCGTTCATCTTTTCCCGTTTCCCACCTGCTACACATCGGGAGCGCGACTTGATTGGCCGCCGGCTATCGGTCAAGCCGGAGGAAGCCATGGTGAAGTTCCCCTCCTGAGGGTGATCTCACTCCGTTAAAATAGAGGCCTCTTTTCCTGGGGAACAAAAATATTTCACATGTCTTCCCGGCCGTCCGCCTTCTTGGGTGCGGAAAAACGCATCCATCCGATCTTAGAGTGGCGGACTGTGACATCTGCTCCTCAACGTCCACTACAAGTGGATGTTTTCCGCTGCTTGAAGCACGAGGCGCCGGAACTCGCGGTCACGGTGTACATGGGTGACTTTGACGGAGCTATGCGAGCCGCAGTGGAGGCTGAGTTTCCTGGCGCGCGCATCTTAGGATGCTACTCCCACTTCTCTCGAAGTCTGGTGAAGCGCGCCAGCTCGCCCGCTGTCGGCCCCGCTAGCGAAATCAGGCGCCCAGGTCCCGTTACCGCGAGCTTCCACGCCTTTCTCGTTCTCCCCTATCTACCGGCGCAACACATCGACGCGGTCTTCGAAGAGAGCGCACAAGAAGCGCTCACGATAAGCCCCCAGGTGAGCTGCGGACCTCCTTATTATCCTTTATACCTGGGCCTTTCCAGAATACGATATCCTGAAAATCAGATAATGAGCAGCCACTCGGAAGGGAAAGAAATCACGGCGGAAATCACATCTCATTATATTTTCCGCGAATCAGGGGGATGTTTTACGACGGAGACGGTCACAAGACTGCAGTCCCATCGAAAGCCTTTCGACGGGACCCATTATAAGCAGCCAAGGAACGGATGGGGCAACCGCCCGTATGAGGCCGTGCTCGAAGTCGAGATCGTACAGAGTGAGTTTCTACATAGAGAATTTTTTTCAAAAACAGCGCATGTAGCGGGATCCGTATCGATGTTGTCCTCATTTCGTAAGGACTTCCTCCCTGTGGAACTCCACATGTTGCCTCTGAGGCTTCTGAGGAAGTCGAACCTCGCTTGAACTGTTGTCTTCGCCCGCCGAGCCAGTTCTCGACCAATTTGAATGCCAACTCGGATATGCCCATGCGTTGAATTACTGCCCTGTAGTCTCGCGAGCGGGCTGCCTTATGGAAGGAGTCCTCGATCCAACCAAAGCCGCGATCATCGCTTCCGGATGAAGTCCCCTGCTGGTCGGCTGTCTCAGCGGGCCATGACAGAGGCTCGCTCGTTCTTCTGCTTGTCTGCCTGCCTGCTGACTTGTGCGACAGCGTTTCGGACTCGGAAGTTTCACTGCATCCAGTATCTACGCATACTCTCCCAGTCACAACATACGCGTATTGGACGGTGCCGCACAGTGGGCCAAATGGCCGAATTAGGCGGACAAAAGTCGAGCTCGAAATTTGACACCCCACATAGCGTCGGAATCTCGTCGGAACATGGGAAGACGCGGGCAACAATCCTTTCCGACTCCGCTTCGATCAAAATGAAGTGGAGAGACAACCAAAGTCGATGATTCATACGATTCCAGAGGAGCTTGTTTCCGCGATTTTTCTCATTTGTGTTTTGTTGCTTCGAAAGAGTATCGACAAAGATATCGGAATGGAAAAAGGAACACGCCGTGAGTTGAAGTACTTCTTAAGTCCGCATTCAAGACGATTTGAGAGCGGACGATCGGTGTTTACGGTCTTAAATAGAGTGTTTCTTCGAAACCTAATTTCCATGGAATCAGGAGGAAGTAGATTATTCAATACGAGACATGCCCCCCGTGTCCCCTCGCTGAAATATTTTTCTTTTGAAGTTCCGGCTCTAAACTTCCCAGAAAAGTTGTTTAGAGACCGCGCTTCGTAGCGCTTCTCGAGTTCTAATGCCCCAAACAGGGGGATCGTAAGACATCGAGACTAACTTGCTGTTTTCAGGAATCGAGATTTCTGTGCCGCGGGTTCAATTTTTCGATGTTTGGCGTCAGTGTCCGGATGACAACGGTCCAGATTCACTTATGCGATGGATTTTTTCGCAATGCGTGGACAGCGTGGAAGAGTGCCATTTGATCAACCGACGAGATTTGAGGCATGAAGTCAGTCGTATTATTTCAAAGCTTCGCAAGAAGCACAAGATATGCCGTCGAGGCCGCGATGAACTCGTTCGTTTGTTTCGTTGATACTTTAGCATCAATGAATCCGGGCAAGCATCTCATCGTTGTGATAGAAAAAGAGACAGACAGTAGTGTCTTGTTGTCTCTTTCTCGAAAACGCGCCAGACCAGCTCCTGGCTTCCCTTTTGAGAAATTCCGAGCTCCGACCCAAGGCATCGAACACGAGAGCTAGATCATATGAGAAGTTTGCCAAGGGGGGGAGAGGGAGTATTCCATCCGCATGATTTCGTTTCACGAGCTCCGGTTCCGTGATACGCGGGGTTTGTAATGAGCGGAGCTTCGAATTCGTGTATCTCGAGCTTCGGAACATCGAGTTAGACAAGCAGCGTCGGATTCGAAGTGTAAAATAATTTTTTCCACCTAATTTGGCCATTTGGCCCACTGTGCGCCGTTGCCGCTTTCTTCGGAGTTCTACATATAGCGGAGTTTCGGAACTCCATATCCACAATCTATTTGAACTCAAAAGCATCGAGAAGTCAAGCTCAAGTGATACTTTGTTCTTATTGTAGGTGCCGTGGAGACTCCGAGTGAGCGAGGGAACCAAGTGGGTATCAAATTTTCCTTCTCGAATCAAGTCTCATATCGCCTGCTTCAACGTCTTTCAAGCTTCCAGTAAATGTTGTATGTACCTGTATTCTCAATGTCGTGACTACTCCGCTATCTCTTTCTCATCTTTATCTTAGAGCCGCGGTGCATCTCGTGACGTCGAGATTCGTCGACGTCGTCCTGGTTGCAGCTCGGGGAACTTTCTGCCTGATCCAATTTCGAGCGTGAACTAGGGAAAAATATGACAAGTAAACAAGAGACAAAAAGTCTAAATAGGGCTGAGAAAGCGTATGAAACATAGAATGAAAAAACAATCCCCGATTCTCAGCGAAAAAATCCAGGGTTGATCTAATTCTTTCTTCGTCATATCAGAGACCGGGCTTACCTCTGAGTAGCATCGCTCTGATCGCCAGTCTCGCGGGCGTCGCCGGCTACGGCGCTTATCGAGTGATTGGTGAGCATCAAAAGAACTGCTGATGGACAGATGAGACTCTTGAAAATTTTGAACACCTGAGATCCTGGAGGAAAGTCTGGATCTAAATTCTCCGTTCTGATTTTTTTCAGTCATCCTCATGGAGAACTCCGGCTCAATAGCCCTCCAGCATCCGCCGAACTAGGGTAAGCATCCTTAAGGCAAGCTGCTGGGAAACGCTAGGAGACATTTGGTTCTTGGGACGTTAGACGATGAACACCGCTCGATGCGTGACTGACGGTGCCGCCCTCTAACGTTGGGTCCCGGCGTCAAATTTCCAAGCCGATGAATCCTACTGAAAACCGACTCTACCGCTGGAATGAAGTCATGACGGATTTTCATGGCCAGTTCCTCATCTTCGAGCTTCCTCTTGCAGTTGTTTCGCGCTGTTCTTCACTGACAAGGGGAGTGCCGAACATGTAACACGCCGATCGGGCTGAAACTTCGGTCATAGAGTCCCCGCCCCGAGAGAAGTTTAAGCCTAGGAGGTTATCTGCGTATGGCCACTTTAAGGGTGTTTAAATAAATATCGGAAACTCGCCCTTGAGCATTGACTCTACGGGAATAATGGAAAATACTATGAATAATGGACGAATATTGGATCTGCCCGAGATATCCGAAAACATAAATATGTTTTTTGGTCGCCGGATTCGAATTTGGCGCCAAGACACCATCTTCATGAGTGGTATCAACTCCCACTTTCCCCTCCTCGCCCCTTCACGTGCTGCAGTTTCATTCCGCGCGCGCCGAATCGAACTCTATCCGCGCGTATTCGTTCGGTTTTCGGTTTGCGTGAGCTCGAGCGCCTTTAGAGATTGAGAATGTCTGCCGGAGTGGAGTCAATTCTTGGTCTCCTGAGGATTAAGTTAAGCGCCCTGTCTTCGAACGAGAAGCTCCTGCAGAATACGCGAGACATTGGAGTGAAAATCGCTGATGCTGTGCTCAGCAGAGTTTCACCGACGCGGACGAATTCGAATTGGAGCAAACTGATGAAGTTTTCGAAAGCGACTATCAGGAAGAAGACTTCATCCCCGTGTGCGAAGACTGCGGCATCGGTAGGGATTTCTTCACCTACGGGTACATTTCGGAAGTTCTCGCCTACAGCGACGCTCACCTCACTCACGGAATGGCGACTCTCGCGACGAAGTTTCGGAGGGTGAAACATAGGAATTATATCAGCCGCTTTCGGGAGTTCTTTTCGCAAATGGGAGCCTGGAGGGATCGTCTGATCCAAGTTGCACAGTATACCGAGGGGAGTTTCGACTTCGCTCGGGCTAGTTCGCAGGCTGTCCTTGACGACGATCTTCGGAAGTGGGCCTTGCAGAAGGCGCGTGATCTCGAGATTGTTTTTTTTTCTACGATCCGCCACAAATCTTCAACATCGATCAGTCCGGGTTCAACTATATGGTGTACTCTGTCAAATCGGACTCTGTCCTACACAGGCGAAAAGAAAACTCTGGTCGCCGTTCAGACCATCAATGCATTGACTCACAGTTACACCATACAGCCAATTTTTTGAGCATGAACGGTGACCTAGTCGGTCGGCTGTTCTTGAATTTACAAGGACTCGATGATAATTGACGACGTCGTTGCTCTCTCGAAGCAATCGTCAGCGACTCTCTTTTCTCCGCGATGCAAAAGAGTAGCAAATTACAGAATGGGTCTCATCAAAGATTATTTCCGTTCTTGATGCTTTGGAAGCTACGACGTTGCGACGAGACGGAAATGTGGGAGTCTTTCAGTTAGGCAGCGGAACCCTCGTCAACTTCATTAAGTCCCTCTTATCCTTCAAAAAGTCGAGAAGCCCTTCAGGACCAATGATACGTTACGCGGAGATGACACTGTGGCGGAGATGATTGATCGTATCTAATTTTTATTATTCGTAATTATTGTTTTTTTCTCAGCTGTTCATCTATCTATCATTGTGGAAGAAACAGAACTTCGCCTCTCTTTCAAACTCTCACATCGCATCGACTGCTCAATTGCATAAACCGTACGCGCTCTCAGAAGAATGGAGTGTGAATCTGATGAGTATCGCCAACAACGTTTCAATACTCTGATCGCTAATCGCTAACCCCATCGTCAAACACTCACACAACATTACGTTCCAAGGACATCTCTCCACATCTTCCGCTACGGACACTTCATCAACGAAGCTTTCGTTCCGGCTCTCACTCTATGACTCAGTCAGGCACGCAGACCTCTTTAATAGGCATGATGATGATGATAATCATCTCGACGCATTCGCAACTCCCTCTACACCCGATGTTCATCATGACATCTACGCTTCATGTCACTCAGAATCCGGAGCTCCTCTCACGGATGCTCTCGACATGAAAGAACGACGGTGCACGTTCCTTTAAAACAGACCTGCCTCGACATCGGGTTCCCCGAGGCGCGTGTCACGCTCATTCTATAGATTCTGACAACAACATGACTCCAATGCGTATCCGATCAGCTAGCTGATCGATAGTGCTAAGTAAGTAACAGATTCAGCGGAGCGGTTCATGCTCGGAAAACGTCCAACGGAATCCATGCAGACCCACAAATGAGAGAAGTCCTTTCCTTCGTCCCAATCTTCTCCTGGAATCAGCTCGAAGAGCCTCCGACTCTTCGAGAGCCGGGATGGGAGTCGGTCCATTCCATCCGTCTCGAGGTTCGGAAAATCTATCTTTTTTTTACTACCTAGTCAATTCAATCAATCAGGAATCAGCTCACTGAAGTGTATCTTATTGCATCGAAATTTCCGCCGGGGACCCTCTAATGCGTCCTCGGTTTCAACGATCATCGGGAACGAGCGGGAATCAAGGCCTGCCGAGAGCGTAGGAATCACGGATTCTGGCAGGGAATCCGATCAGAATCGATTCGGAAAGACAAGCGAGGGGAGGAAAGAGCCGATTTACACCCAACGTAATTTCGTCGGCTCAGGGATTTCGGTAACCCGGTTTCCGTGTGGCGCGAATGGCCGGCCACGAAAATATCTTCCGTCGGAATAAAATCGAGGGATCCCGAATCCTCTCTAAAATTTGACCTTCAGGCGGATCAGACCAGGAATATAACCAGTAAGAATCATTCCCATGCACTCGATCGGAGAGGAATCACCTCTGGACCGATAAGTCCGGTAGCCATAAGACCCCTCGGTTGCGTGATCTCTAGCATATGTTGAGGACATATGTTGCTGCTTCCTAGAACTCGAGACCAGTTCATGAGATACACGCTCCTACGGACCTCTATCACAATGATTTGGATACAGACACAGGCCCTTCCCGAGAAGCTCACGGAGCTCCTCGAGCGCTTGATTCTCGAAGATACGTATTCCGTGTGTCAATAATTGATGGGAGGTCGCTCCGTAGATGGTCACACGTTCGTCGATGTGGCCGTCCCGTTACCATTGCTGACTGTGGTTCCATCGTTGTCGACAAGCACCAATGATCCCTTACGAACCTATGGGGGGAAACAGTGAGGAATTTGACATGTTCGCCAAGCAGTCTACGCTCCACCTTAAAATCATGCAGCGGAAGCATTTTGGGCTGCGAGGATCGATAGCGGTCGGTCGAGAGCCGAGATATCGGATGATGGTTCCGAATTCCCATAATGGCTAGAAAATCAAAAACAGCTCACTTTTCCGGATGATGTTGAGCTGCTCTTGTGAATCGTGATCGTTGCCGAGTTCTCGTTCTCTAAGTGGACCTGTGGAATGGTTCATGGAGAAATGAAAGGTGAAAATCGAGCTCGCTACCAGCACGCGCCGGGTCCATAGAACTTCATGAGCAGAAATCGAGAAATCAATACAATGGTTGTGACCACTGAAGTATGTGTACTCGAGATTATCAGGAGGATTACCCGAGCAGTTCATGCAGCGAGCCTGACATCATCGATATCACGACTTGCCCAACGAGATCTGCGGAGGCTTCACAAAAGCCGAAACTTTGGGAGAGTTCCGCAATGCTGCCTAGTAGTCGACTCTTTCTCCTCTCGAGAACTTGAGGCGGCTATATTCTGTTCAAGGGAATCTTTCTGGCTCTCACAGATCTTTCGGAAGCCCCCGGAGACTTTCAGGTAGAACTTTCAGTAGACGACTCGGAAGTCGAAAAGTCGGATGGGAGAGTCGAGTCTTGGCTTGTTTGGGAGTACTCGGAATCTTCAAGGAGATCGTTTACCTGAGATATTTCGATTGACTCATCGATCGACCCGAGTGTTTCATGCAGTTGAGTTTTATACACGTCCCTCCTGGAAGCTCCTGATGCGCTACTGCTAGGTGGTGGATCTTCATCCTAGAAGAAGGAGGCGGTCATCAATTTCGTATATTCATATTAGAATTCGATTACAGCTAATCGGGTGAACACTTCGCGCCGAAATTTCTCCCCACAGACTGCGGAGCTCCTTGGCTCCAAGAGTCTGTAGCGGATCGAGGGTGACTCATGCATACATAGAATCAGATATGGTAGAAATCCCGTTGACTTTCTACCGCATAGCTTCCGAGAATAATTTAGGGACGTTCGCCACAAACTCCTCGCTTGCCTTTGCCTGTCCACCTCGATCTCAAGCATAGAATCAATCCTATGCCCATACGATCAGAGCAGTCTCGGTTGGACGAATTCAAAAACATTTGGGAGGACGAACTCTCCACGGAGAAGCCGCGAACGAGTCATTCCATTCCCCTTACGATAGGCGTCATCCATGATATCGGGATGCGCCATTGTTCTGCTGAACAGAAACCGATTGCATTCAACCACTGCGCTGTTCGACAGGATGCGTGTCGTGCATTCGGGCCGCCGGAGAACACGGCGGAGCCGAAATGGAATCGCACGGTGGCGATCGTATAGGGTCTCTTCGGTTAAATATAGAGATTGAGACGCATTCAGGAATCGGAGCTCGGTGCATATGCCTCGATCGAGGATCGCGGTCCCATGGAGATCATTATAGCACAGAGGGGAGCGAAGTAGGAAAAGGATAATTCCTGACATGCCGAAACTTTTCTCGAATGTCTAGAGAAGCACGGAACCCATCTCGAGAGTTCACCTTTGTCCTTCGAAATTATGTATCTGGCTAGCTCGCGCGGAAAAATAGAATCGAACTCACTTCACCATCCTCACTGAGTTTTCTAGTTCTGAAAGATGCGTTGGTGAGCACGTTCTTGGTAAGGTTCTTGAAACTTGAATTCACGATCCTGATGCCCATTGGATCACCGGTTTTGTCCTTCGAGTCGAGGAGACTCTGCTTCATGGCATTGGCGACCAGACTCACTTCAAACAGGAGCGATTGTTGTCCCCGCAGGCGGATCATGGCTAATGTTTCGTTACCTGGAATAGCGATGAGGGTTCAAATCTCCTCTCTTGTAGAAAATCGAGCCTTGGCAAAGAAGCGCTTCGGAAAGCCGATGGGCAGTTCCTGACAGATGAGCCGGATTCAGATCGGACCGCCTGCGGAGCCTGATAGCAGGAGAAGAACAAGCGGGAAGAAATTATGATTTCTCCTCGAAGGAGGAAGTGGTCCAACTCACCAAGAACATACTGTCCATTGAACATGGAGAAATAGGCGCAATGCAGAACTTCAAGCAGATACTCTGGGCTCAGTTCTATACGAGGAGCTTTCTGTGAGATGACTTTCTGTGCGCCACGCAGAGTGGCCTCGCGCGAGATGTTTGGCATATACGAAATGTTGGCGTTATACACTCGCATCAGAAGTGCTGCTATATGATGGACGTTATCCCGTGTCAAGCGAAGAGCTTCCTTGAAGGGTCCGATAACTACTTTCGCGTTCAGGGCGCCCTGTTCAAGTCGATGTAGCGCGTTTTCCGTGAGAGCCACCGATGCCGGGACTGCTACGCTTTCATGATAGATCGACGGTTTGAAGAGTGTGGGGACGCAGAACGAGTGAACAACTTCCTTCCCTTCAGGATCGCACGTCTCGATGTTGTACGCCGCCAGCAGGTACACTTCGAGAAAGCTCAGGTCGCTGCCACGCGTTGCGGGATGCCGACTCAATCTCAAATACAGAGATAGTGCCGTGGGGATATAGTAAGAGGAAAAACGCTGGAGATCTTCGATGTCTGAGCGGCAGAACTTGAATAATTGCTCACAGACTGCTTCTAGGTATTTCGAGTGGTACTGGGCTTCTTCGAGCACTTGGAAGATGGCTTTGACCAGCTGATCTTGTTGACACAGGGCGACCGCCGATGTGGACGACCGTTCCGCCTCGGTCAGAAATTCCTGGAGCGTTTCCTCAAGTTTGCCCATTTTTCCCCACGGGGGCCCTCAATGTCCCGGAGGACTCCGACAGTGGACTGATGATTGGATGGCACACTGTCGAGAACTTGGTAGCCTCGTCTTGTCGGTGGAGCGTGGGAAAAGAATATGTGGAAGGGTCCGGAATGGATGCTTCTCCACCTCTCGAAACCCTCCACCGCGCTCTCAGTGGAGCACCAGCACGCGACGAGCAGCAGCGACCGACAGACCACCAACTACCAGTTACCACTCACTCTTTTACTCTACGAGCTGTCCGGCCACAGTGCCAAGAAATATATGGCGGAACAGCGGACGACGTCGAGAGAAAGGGAAAAAGTAGCGGAGCCTCAGAGAGGAAACCGGGAGATTCGAATCTCCGACGATTCTGCAGACTGCAGTCGAGTCAACGCAAGATTCATATCGCTAATCCGCTTGATTTCCGGAGGCCGTCTATGCGTCTGTCCGAGAAATATTCGTCCGATCTGAGATCCGTCACCGTTGATCCGAGGAAACGATCATGACTCGGAAATCGATTTGGGGTCTCACAGTTCCCCGCCTTCAGAAACCGGGGAGTACAACAAGAGCAACCATTTTTGGGTCAGACTCGCGAAACGCATGCCCAACTCGACAGGAATTCTCCTAAAAACGCCGACCCCGAAGACGGAGGAACGGACGCGATGGCGGGATTGACTTCGCTCAGCGCCCAAGCGCACAGCTACTCGACGAACATCCGTCGCAGCAGCACACACTTTCCATCATCGTGAAGAGAGAGAGAAAGAGAGACAGCAGACGACATGAGGGAAAATAAACAGAAGCGGCCTTTCGAACAGCGTTCCGAAGTTCTGTCCTGAGCCGGGACAAATAAGACTATATTGGCATAGCCTGCGTGATTCACCGGCGTAAGGACACCTAGAGGACCAGCATGGTCCACAAGTCCAGATGGGAGCTTCATTCGGAGGCTAGCGGTAGTGAAAGCGATAACTCAAGGTGAGTTCTCGATCTGACGATGCATGACCGGTCGCTGCGATAGAATTCCCAATTCATGGAGTCACCGAGATGACCTGTCTTCTCGCAGTGTCATGGAAGACCTCTAGCTATCCATTATCGGGGTGAGAGGTAGGAGCCCCACCTTGATCTGTCCTCATTGCATTCGATCCGGGAAAGCTTTCAACTCTCGCTACGAATTTACATTGATGAATGGGATGCTTGCGTTGGGATGCGCAACCTGCGGCGTTGGGACTTTGCTCTCCACCGTCGCCAACACGTGTGTAATCGTCTGCTTGTTCTCCACAGATCCGCGAGCTCCGGCAGTCGCAAATCGGGCTCATCTCGATCGAAAAAGTCAGCATCTCAGAGCCCCAAAGGCAGCGGAAGTGGCTCCAGGAGCCGGTCGAGAAGTGGTAGGGACATTAAAACTGATCACATCAATGGAGAATCCTTGGCCGATTGGGAAACTTCCACATTGGCTGTGGACCCGGATCTCGTCTGAACAATTTGTCCCCTTCCTCTCCAGGAACTCCGAAAAGTGGATCGGGCTCGCCTCAGAGAGCCTCTCGTTCTCGCAGTGCTACGGGCTCGCACAGAAGCAGATCCGGTTCTCGGAACTGGGGTTCTGCCAAGTCTCGTTCAGGGTCGGCACGCTCCAGATCCGGCTCCGCAAGGTCCCGCTCGGGGTCCGGCTCTCATCGGTCGGGATCTGGCTCCCAAAGGAGTGACTCGGCAGCCTCGGGCTCCGCCAAATCCGGCTCACGATCGCGTTCGGGTTCACGAAGTTCGTCACCTGCTCCAGGCGGCTCAGGGAAGTCCCGAAGCAAAAGCCGGAGTGGAAGTAGATCCGGCAGTAGATCTCCGTCGAAAAGAGACCGGTAAGGAAACTCCTCGTCACCCTCGATGGCAAGATTGATTGAAGCGCCACCGAAATTACATAGCTGGACTACGCAGTACGTGAGCGCAACGATGGCGGTGGCGAATCCCGTCGCATCGATTTCCTCAGTTTTTTTTCTGATGGATAGGTCGGACTCCGGATCGGAAATCGAACTCTCTCGCAAAAAGAAGAAGAAGACCGATGATGGCGGTGACGAGACGACTAAACCCGAGCTGGCCGATATCTTCGGGGAAGATCTTGGGGATATTAGCGAGGACGAAGAGAAGGATGACGATGACGACCAGAAGGAGAACGAGCCCGAACGCGAAGTGAGTTCGCAGATGTCCCCCCACAAGCATTTGATCGCCTCGCTCTCAGTATCAGGAGAATCCTCGTGCTGTATGCTGAGAATGAGCTCAATTCCTCTTCCGTCTTTCAGATCCGGCGCATGGGGGATGTCGATGAAGAAGAAGCGCAGCCAGAGACAGCGGCGCCGGTACCAGAAACCAGAATCGAAGTCGAAGTTCCCAGGATCCAGACAGATCTCGGCAAAGAAGTTCATTTCGTGAAGTTACCCAACTTCCTCTCTGTCGAGACCAGACCCTACGACCCGGAAACCTACGAGGATGAAGTCGACGAGGACGAAGTTCTCGATGAAGAGGGCAGGGCCAGACTGAAGCTGAAAGTAGAAAATACGATTCGGTGGAGGAGAGTCTACGATCCAAAGACCGGGGACCCGATAAAGCAGAGCAATTCGAGGGTTGTCCGGTGGTCTGACGGATCTCTGAGTTTGCATCTGGGCTCTGAAATTTTTGACGTTCACAAGCACTCTCTCATGACCGGAGACCACAACCATTTGTTCATCCGACAAGGCACAGGTCTTCAAGGTCAATCGGTTTTCCGGACAAAACTCTCATTCAGACCACATTCAACGGATTCATTCACTCACAGGCAAGTTATTCCCCACCCTCAAAGCATTAAGCTTTCCTGATCTAATCCAAGGAGCCGTTCAGATTTCAAATTTCGATCGGGTGACACCTGTGTCAGAGCTAATCATCTGGCTGGGATGTTGTTGATGAACGAAAAATGATTGTTCAGTGAACGGCTCAGCAGGTTATTCACATCGATGCTTCGACTGTTGCAGGAAAATGACCCTCTCCTTGGCGGGTCGCTCGCAAAAAGCCAACAAGGTCCGCGTTCTACCCACCGTCGGTGCTGATCCGGAGAGGAACCGGGGTGAAATGATAAAGAAGGAGGAGGAGAAACTACGAGCCTTCATGCGGAGGGATAACAAACAGAGACGAATTCGTGATCGTGCGCGAGGCATGAATGTTGGTGAGTTAATGTTGGGAGATGCCATCCCGAACCACCTTGGGCAGCGATTCGAATACAGAGAACTTCCTTCGCGGACGATATTTTAAGCCGTCTTGATCGTTACAGGCTTCTTGGAAGATGACGAAGACGGTATATCGTTGAGTGCGATCAAAAGCAGCGCCAAGAAACGGCAGGCAGCCTCGAATATTTATTCAGATTCTGACTCGGACGATTCGGATATCGATGGAATTCGTCGAAGGAAAGCGTCCGACAAAGCAAAACAGATCCAGGATTCTGACGGAGATGACTACTTCGATAAAAAAGCTCGGAAGCAGAGCAAAGCGACGAGTGACAAAGAATCTGAGAAAGCGGAGAGCGGCTCCAATTCGGAGTCGGAAGACAAGGAAGACAAGAAATCCGACAGCGACGATTGAGACTTCTTTATGTATATCCGGTGCGTGGCACGTGTAAAATAACATTATTATTCCGTACGAGAATCAGATCGCGTACATTTCAAGTATCCGTGTGAAAGGGAGCTAGGCACAGTGATCCGAGCACTGGAAGTCTGCGGATAACCTGTACAGAATAATTGTTTTCTTTCCGTCATCAGACCATTTGTAGATATGCGTCCTCTTGTGGCACAAGTGAGTCGTAGCGCGACCGTTGATCAGAATCGCTCTGATTTGAAAAGTCATCGTCGGTGAAGTGATTATGGAGCCGCTTTGAAAACGAGAGGAACGCGGGCGAGTATGAAAGATGGAGATCCTGCTGTCTCAAGGTACTCAGTGAGTAGGATGGCGGACCCGAGGAGAAAAGGTCCGCCTGAGATGTGATCGTCGGTCCGCTGAGAGGAGACTTGCTCTGGAAACGATGGGGAATTTTTTTTAGACGAATCATATTCAGTGGCACACAGCCCCATTGATATGAGCCTCGGTATGATAGAATAAACAAATACATTCATAATGAATCCAATGTTCTCCGCACTTCGGGGATTCTGTGAAGCAGAATCGATAGAGTATGTCATATCCAGACGCGTCTGATTTTCACCTTGGTTCTGAAGAAGACTCCATTCATATGACTAGAATCCGCGGTAGTGACTCCCTTGTCGAAAGGGTCCTTCTTGTGACAGAGGAAACAGCAGACCGAGCAAGTCAGCAGCAGGAATATAGACGAAAAGCCGCAGACTGCCAGCACGTACATCACCATCTGGACCGATGGATCGGCTTGTAGGTGCGGGTACATCGTCCGTGATCCTTGGGGCTTATCGTCGCCGAAAATGCAATCTGTTTCGCTGGAAAAAATGACTGAATGCTGTCTGTCCGAATTAGCGGAATAGGTATGGACTTTTTCGGTACGACTACGATATCTCAGGGTTGGAATCTGCGCGATGTGAGGTACAGATTAACGTTTCCTCGAATCGGATCCAGCTTTGGAGGTAAAAATATCGCTCCTGCATACTAAACCAAGGGACCAATCGAATGATATCCGACGAGTCAAACCGACGATTCCGGTGCCTACAAAGAACTCAGACTCGACCCTTTGTCGCATTCCCTACGTAGGGATCCCAGTTTAGAACCCTGAAAATCTGTGGGAACGCGGACCTTGTTACCGAACTTACATTAGTCATCGGCCGTCGCACAACGCAGGGTTCTCGCTTCAGTGAAAGTGAAACTCGGTATCGGATTCGGGCACCGACAAAAGTCTCCTTCTAACACAGAAAGTAAGTTTGCCGTCACGCAAAATCAGTTCACGTGGGAAATCCGAGCGGTCTCCCTCGATGAATGTCGGAGTCTAAACCAGTGCTTCGGGGTGAAATCAGTTGACTAATTTCAGGAAACGCCAGCTGACATATTCTCCCGACAGCGACTGTCCTAGAATAGAATCTGGATTCTAGTCGATAAACTTCGACCTTTCGCGTCGCGCCTGGTATCGGAAGTGGAAGCGTCCGGGGCGAACAATCGCTACAGCGGCGCAGCGCAAGGAAAAATTCAATCGGGATTGCTCGAAATGTCGATCGAATAAATAGGGATGTTCCATTTGGGGTCAGGCCCTTGTGCTGATCAAATCGGGACGGCAAGGTATCGATGTGCAGCAAGGGCGTTTCTCTATGAGACGACTTCTCGGATCTCATACTATCGACGGTCGTCGTAAGTATAGAGTTCGGCTCCGCTCGCGTAAATTCCACTCCTCCTGATGTTATCATTGAAGAGAACGACGGGAACTGAATCATTCAAGCGGATCCGAGTAGAAATCATTGGATCCGTCGATTCAGCGATAACTGTAGATCCGCTCAACGACTGAACAAAGCGAGATGCACAGAGAAAAAGTCAACAAAGGGGCTACACGAAATTCATCGAATGCATTCAGAACGGCTGTGGATTGAATCTAGTGACACAAAGTCTGCATCACGGATTTCGATCAAAGTCCATTTCTTCATTCCTTTCTCGCTTTCCAAAAACGTTCATCAGCCGCATCGCATCTGACTTTGTGCGGACTTCTCGGAAAATTTTCATTGAAACTTGTGAACGAGCGTGGAGCGCGATGAATAACGATCAAGAACGGATAGTTTTTGGGATTTTTTTCCCTCCGTAAATGTCATTGGCACTTTCGAGACTACCCTTGCAAAACGCATCTGTCATTCTCGCTTTTCGGAAAGATTTATTCGCGTCTTTCAAGCATTTCATTCTCGCAAGATATCGAGGGAATTGTTTCATCTTGGACCCGTATCTAGTGATTTGGGAAAAACAGAAATCCTCTGATCAAAGAAGGCATCTGACAATTTCAGAGCGGTCACGCATTCCGAACTTTTGATATTCGATTGCGGAGAAAACGTCGTGTTGATTTTTTTCGAGGGGACTCAGGCTACCTCTGCCTACCGCTTGCTTCCCACCATGTATACGGAGCTCAGAGGCAAACGATTCCGCGAATCATTGAAGCTCTCGCTCGACTACGTTACTCGCATCCCCGACTCTGGCGAGACTTTCCCCATCCACATTAGTCTCGGGACGAGTTTTTCCATCCGCTGAATTTTCCGTCGCGTAGTCGTCGCACTTTATCCCTTCGCTTGAAGCTCTTGATTCCTACGAATCCGACTTTCTGCGGTTGGCAGCGAAGTCGGCCTTTATGAAATCTGTATCGAACCGAATCGCATTCAAGGTTCACAGACGAGAAACAAAAAGCTTCATTCTCTGGAGAATAGGCTAGCGGTACATAACCAAGATGAATAATTTCGAAGAGCCAAGCTTTGTCAGCGACAGCTGTCACCACCAGTCCGAAAGCCGGTGGAGAAAACGACTGAAACGCTTGAAATCTTCAGTTTCAGATGACATTTGCCCTCGAGGAGAGTCGACAGTAACCAGAATCGAATGAATTGATCTCCTGCCTTGCGGCTTCCCGGCCGTTTTTCCGCGGATCTCTCTCAGAGCTCAAAGGCTCTCCGTATCATTTCTTTACATTGCGTCACTGCCACCGATATTCCTTGAACATGAAGAGATCTAACTTCATCACGAGAAGCATTCTGCTCGTGGTTTTCGGCGATGAATGATGGAGGACGTGTCATCGCCGCGAGGGGACGATGCGACTATCACAGGAGAAATCGACACGGTTTACATCGCTCAACGTCTTTGCTCGTGGGGAAGAGGGTAAAGTTGACGTTGCAGCTGCTAGATGCGGGGCCCCAGGCGGAAGAACCTCATCGCCGAGCCCGGCAGATCGTCGAGTGCGCATGCTCATCAAAATTATTGATGCTGCTCACTCAGATGAGATGGGTGTCTGAGGCGTGTCCCTCCAAGAGATCAAATCTTCAGGGAGCCATGGGTCTGTGGCGGTCACGAGCTCGATTTCAACTTCAGCAGTCAGCCAAATACACAAGAAAACTCCCTTCGCAATCTTGAGGAAGAAGCTCCAAACCCTCACCCTCTTCGGAATCTGACTCATGTTCGGAAGAACGTCGGGCACGTCTGATTGATTCCGTGGTAGCTTTGCTGCTCAACATGTGAGCTTATCCACACAGCTTCATCTGGAGTTCTTGGGCCACCAGTCAAAAATTTTCTAGCGTTCCCGAACCCAGAACTGAAATTAAGCCAGTCGGATCATGGCTGCGTACCTGCCTAAAGGTCGGCGTCTGAGTCACGCTCCCGCCCCTGCGAGCAGCGCCCTTCGAGGGGTGGACTGTGGTTCTCGCTGTCTAATCACGCTGTGACATGAACGTTTTGTTTGTGAAAATCAGAACACGTCGACCGCTCAAAGACCCGTGAGTCATTTTCGGGTCGGATTCGGAGCGATGCTCTAGCCTTCCTCCCAATGTGGAGCACGAACGAATGTCATCTCCCCGACTCCGTTCAGACTGTCTTGCGCAACTTTTTCGACACCTTCAGCAGGGGTTCAGGCTCCCCTCTCTGGAGATCCGATCGTGAGATCCAACTGACTGAGCCAACGACCGCGCTTCTTTTAGCGGCGGATTGCCCTTCTAGCGGCAACTTCATGAAGTCGTGCAGTACATTCACTGATGCCTGCTTTCGAAAGAGCGATAACGGATTTAAGATCGGTTTCAAAACTAGCGCTGACTCGAAACGTCACAGCGCACTAAATCGGAGTTCTCAGGGTGTAATTCGGTACGGCCGGCTGATTTTTGGGGGAAGCTTCGGGGTTCGTTTTGAAGTTTCGGGAACTGTCTCTGGGGGGTCGAAGGATGTCCACCCATACTCGATTAGTAAGATTTCGCTCCCGAGCCTCCAAAGCTGCTCTCGTATGTATCCTTGTCTGCATCGCTTGAAGCTGACGCGAAACTTCCACGAGTCTCAATCGGTCCAGCCTCGTGGACCAAGCGATGGGAATGGGAGCCGTGTGGATATTTTTCGGCAGATCGATGTGACAAAATCCCACGTCTTCTCTAATGAAACCCGGATGAGCGTCTCCGAAATGATAGAAGACTGGTGGAAGGATCTCTTTCGATGTTCGAGGTGCCGTTTGTCCATTAGGCTTCTCTGGAAAGCATCCACGGCAGTCGCACTCCGAGAATCGCGGAATCCCCGCAGTATCTGAGCTTTCTAGGTCTAGAGGAAATGGCTCTGATTCTTGTCAGGAGAGCCTTTTGGAGCGCCGCTTGCAGCAGCTATCGGATGGATTCGCGCTCGGGGATCAAGAGTCACCCTTAGGATGTCTCTCAGAATAGACTCGTCTGGAGTGTTCTTGAGAAATATCGAGTATCAGGCGGTAGGGGGAAGAGGAGCTGTCCGGAGGGTCCTGAAACGATGTCGAGCTTTTTTGAGTTGTTCGAAAGCTCGCCGGAGAGCCGGTTAGAAGCAGCATCTGACTCGTCCCAGCTCCTCTCCTAGCTGTGAGCCGAGGAGCATTTTTGGATGCCACCCAGAATTGACGTAACTTTCCCGGAACAGCCAGACGGAACGGAACAAAAAAAGCTCTAGAAAATAACAAAATTGCGAAGGACATACGGCAGATTTGGATAATTGCTCGAGGCTGGCTAGCTTAAGACCGCCGTAGCAGTGAAGGTAAATAAGTCGCAGTGGCAGAAATAGGGGCGATCAAACCGCGGTGGCAGCAGACGTGGGGCTCATGTGGGAGAAGTTGTGAAATTTGGCAGAAACGCTAAAATTCTGCGTGATTCAAACAAAGCCTTGCCCGTCAGCCGCGCCGTGGTGCTCCAAGCAGTCCGAGGTGTTATGGCAGCCATAATGCAAAGGACGAACTCGCTGGGGCGTTCGTTCGTATGGTCGTTCGCTCCTTCGGTCGCTGACTCGCGTGAAAGGCCGCCGCCGACGAACAAAAGTGAAAATCGCTCAGAAAATTTTCGGTCTCATTTACTGTTCTGACTACTAATTCTGTTTCCAGTCTCTTGAGCAGGAGCGGGCACTGCTGACCGGGCGCTAAGCGGGAACTTCACTGCTCGAATGTTCTGCGGGGAAATTGCCGAGTCTCAGAAGAATCAACAATTAAAAGATCCTCGGATGTCGGATGCCCATGCCAAAATCCGCTCTCGACCAAGACCCGCTGTCACGCATGGCATCATGATGCTACGTCAAGTGTTCAGGGAGAAGATTCCCCGATGCGAGCGTTAAGAATAGAATATCACGAAATCACTTCTGGAACTCATTTTGATTGCGGAATGTTTGTTGACGTAAAAACGAACATGTCGTCATGAATCAGGAACACGACGGGCATGACAACGATCGTTTTCGGAGATGAAAGCTACAAAAGTGAATGGATGCCGCTGAGAGGGATCGCTCATTGGGGAAAAACTTCAGCCATGCGTTCGGGGAAAATGTCCATCCAGACGACATCAAGGCTCCATGACTTTCTCCGGCGGAAGTTCATTGTTGCCCAGGGATCGCTCGGACTCTTGCGCGACACTCTCGAACGCCGTGGACAACGGGAATTTCGTATCGCTACGATTCAAGAAATCGACTCGGCTGGAGTGAAGGATGTCTAATTCGAGGTTTTCACTTGGCTGCTCCCGATTGACTGAAGTAGCGACTCGCATAATGAGGAGGTCGTTTTCCCGATCGATTTCGAGGCGCCGCCGCGCCGTTTGCTCAACATCTATCAGTCCCGGGCTATCATCGACTTTCGCGAAAATCGGACTGCAACCACGTTCGTGATCGCAAAGGAAACAAGCGGAGCTCTGACGATTCACTTTCGCGAGCCCGTGATCGATTGAACATGTTCAGTAAGAATGAAGTACGACAAGAACATCCGTCATCGGAAGCGGCTGTCGCTATGGCTGCGCAAGTCTGAACGAAACTCCGGAACCTCACGACGGAGATTATGGGATTCCGCTCAGGGTCGCGGCATGATCGGATCATATGCGAAGACGCAAAAGTCTGCGAGAAAACCAACGAGACTCGCTGCCTTTACATGTATCAGATTCAAGAGATGCTAGTAGAGGTCGTGAGGACCCGGCGGTATATCACAGGAAGCCCATGCGGATAACGTTTTGAATATATTCGTCTCCCCCGCAATCAATCACAGTAGCATGCCATCCAATACGAAAGCCCGTAATCAATCGTCCGGTGAGTTCATGGATACGAGGGAGTCGCAAAAGGACTCGAGCAGCCGCGTCACTTTGAACGCGAGGGAACGATTCTTAGTAAGATCGTATTTCCCCCAGACTGCATGACTCTCGGAGGAATCGGACGCGGAAATACTTCCCCATCAGATATCTGAAGCTCGCGCACTTCGTCTCGACGACATCTGAGGATGAGAACCGAAGGAATCACAGAAGTTGAATATAGCCCATGGCCTGTCATGGGCTAGAGGGCCAGGGTTACGGTTTTTTGCTCGAAGCGACCCTTGCGCGAAATTATACATCATGCGGTCTGTACGAAGTCAATGGATCAGGTCTGCGAATCGTGCGAGAAATTCTATCTACCTAGGAGTTCAACAGATTCGATAGAAAACATGCGCACCCGTTACGTGTTGAAATTTCCCATCGACGACACCGGCTGCAATGTAGGCACCATCCGATCACATATGGATCAGATCACTTTCTTATAGATTGCCGATTCAATCACACCGTCACAGTGGTAACTCCAGAATAGACACTTCACAGGGCAGCGCTCCGCCACAAAGCTCTCTTCGACAGAAGTCTGAAGCCGGATTTCGCTGCGCGAATCAAGGAATCGGCCCGCCGTATCGGAAAGGGCGACCACCTTCCCCCTCAAGATTGACCTTATCTAACATAAATCGCGGCCGGTATCAATTTTGTGGAATCATATGGCGACTTTTCGGGAGGAGGTGTGAGAAACTCACCATTGGGAGTCGAGATCTGTTCGTCGAGTTCGCTCACGCGCGAATTGCTTCGCCACATCCCCTCTTTCTCGCGCTGCAATTTAGATGAGAATGCACGGGCAGCAGGAGTTGGAATACTTGAGTACAGGCAACGGGTGAAAGGGATGGAAGAGACGGGACCCATCCGGAGCGAGGTTTTCGCGGTCGCCCATTAGATATAGGACAATTGAATGAGGACGATTATGAAACATCAATCTTTGCAGAATGATCGGAGTGGTTTCTCTTGGGTCCTCTTCAGAGGTCATAATCAGCGTATTTATTCTCTGATGAAGGGGGAAATAGGAAAGCGTAGCTTGCGTTGGAAATAGATCTGTTTAACAAGAAGTCAATGTCTCTTTACAATAACATGTCTCATGATCACAGGATGAGAGCTTCAAAAAACGCTGCGTATTCGTTCCTCTCCGTATCCTCGAACTTGCGGAGTCGGTACTTCGACGACGTGGGGAACACAGGTGAATGCCTTTGGCGAGAAATTCTCAACTCACGGTCAGTGAATCATTTCCAGCCAAATCAGATTACGTCAGCCGTGATGAAAATAGTTCAATAAACATCGATACTCTGACACGAACCCGTCAATCAACCCATATCGGCTCCACGAATGAGCGCCACTGTCTAAAGGAGAATGGAAACATGACGAAAGCATCGCCGCTTTCCGGGAGTCTCGTAGATCCTATAACTATCCTATCCTATTCTATAACAATTATAATTGTCGGAATGACGGGTATTCGTGCGGTTCACTTTGATTAGTTAAAGCAAATACAGTCTTTGGGAAATGATCCGATGATTCCACAGCTATCCAGGTCGCCGTGAATTTCTTGCGCGAAACCCAGGTGTTCGATCCGCTGAATTTCTTCACGGCCGATCTGACGGCGGCCGACACTGCAGCGATAGCGAGCCCTCACACGGTTGTAGGAGTTTCGCGAGCATTTCGAGTTCTGACGACCGGTTCCGCATATACACCATAGTTTCCCAGAGAGAGCTGACCAACAGCTTGTTATCAGTCTCACTGAGATTAATGTCTTCCGATTGGTCCGGGTTCAGTCGGAAGTAAGGAACTCGAATACCGTGACACCAAGCCTGCGCACGATCAACCACTCGGCCTCCCGTCTGCGTAGCCTGATCCACCAACAGCGAGAACAAGTTCCTCGCGGCGTAAGCCATTCTCGCAGCTCCCAATAGACCGGTCGAGACCTGCAGGGAGTCTAATGTGGCTACAGATACAACAGGCGGTTTCCCGGTGCCCATCGATACCATGACTTGGAGATCCGCAACTTCGCCGTCGGTTTCGAGGGCGCGTTGCACAGCATTATGCTCGGCGATTTCGGTCAACAGGTCCAGGGTAGGGTTGTTGGATATCAGCCCGCCGTCCAAATACTGTTTGAAGGGGCGAAAGTAAGTTGGCGCAGCGCCGGTAGCGCGAGCAACATTCCAGACGAGCTGTTCTCCGGGATCAGGGTCTGTTTCGTAATCTCCGAGATCTTCTCCTTCTCGGATGACCTGCCGCGGTGGTTTGTAGTTTCTGAATAGGCACAGATTCGCCGGATGGCGTTCCGCCGCCACCGCTGTGATGCAGATCCTGAGAAGGGCGACTCCTATCGTATTTAAACTCAGATGGGTTCGCGCACGTTCACTCCGTTCGGAAGACAGATCTTATCAATCCCGGAAAAACATACCTTGGGTACTTGATGTCGCACATCATCATATCTTCTGTGAGCTCTTGCTTGAGCAGCTTCTCGAGCGCATCCGAATCATAGGGTCTAGAGCCTACGAATATTTCATCTTTCAGACGGAAGTAGAGTTGAAGACAGTGAGCGGTCGTCTTCCCTGAAATTCGCCAATGTGAAGGTGGAGGGAGTTCAGTTCAGACAACGAGGATATTCATTCTCCACTCAAGAGAACAGCTTGATACGATTTCCATGAGCCTACCAGTTGCCAGGCAGAGGGCGAGAATTCCGCCGGTACTTGTGCCAGCTATCCAGTCGAAGCATTCGACGATAGGTCTTCCGACGATTTGTTCGAGACACATCATCATGCGAATGATCACGAGACCCTTTATCCCACCACCATCGAGGCATAAGGCCCGGCATTGTCGCCCCCGTCGTTGAACATTCATGTTTTCCAGAGCTTCTTGGATGACGGACTCTCCCATGAGTCCGTCAAAAACTGCAAGGGCGATGAAAATCCCCGTAGCTGATAAAACGAAGCCTCATCATTACCGCATTTCCGGTGATGATCCTGGGAGAAAACTCACGGGATTGGGATTTGTAGAAGTTTGGCTCCTCGGGACCGATGCCGTCAAAATATCCGAGGGCTGCGCAGCCATCCTTGCAATTTGATACGTCGTCGGAACAACGCGCCGCTCCGACGGCATGCAGAGTGTAGAGCACAAGATCTCTCTTCACCATGGTGGAGAGAGCGGCCAGATGCCGTGGCGATTCTCCCTGGTGATTCAAGGCGTTGACGTCAGCTCCGAAGACTATCAGCGCTTGTAGAACTGTGACATCGCCCTGCAATGGCAACGGAGGACTTCAGACGGCAGGGAGGACTGCCGAGGCGCGGAGAATTTCCGGAACCTCCGATGAATTTTTGCTGATTGGAGTGTGGCTCGATTCCCTGCCGTTCTGGTAGGAACCAGATCAAAACCAGAAGCATCCTCGCTCCTGATGCATTCATACAGACCTCAAAATGTCTACTCACGTTTCTCTGTCGGAAATGGAACGCAATAAGACAATTGCCAGGGAATACAACAAACGACCACAAGAATCATTCTGGACTAACACTCAAACTCCAGGTTTCCGACCCGGACACGTGCATGAAATGAGCTGCAGGAAACTCTCATCAACCGAGCTTCTGTACTGATAGTTATGAGCCTGGCTATGACTGACTTGACAAATTGGCTGATGTACCCCTCTAGCCCATAGCGCCCCCTCTCTGATTCATTCTGAGCCCTTAGGGGAAATTTCGATTTGCAACTCGGCTGCCTGCTGGGATTACGGCCACGGAAACCAGGAGGGGCTCGTCGCTGATCGAATGCCATAACAAGCAAGCTATCATTGACGCAAGCCATAGTTTCAGATGCTCCGGAAGGATCGCCCCAAATCCTGTGTTTTCTCTACTCACAACATCCAGGGGAGACGCTAAATCCCGCAGCGGTTTTTCGCGTCCAGGAGAGGAAGCCTCCAAATCGGGATCTATTTGAAAATTCCCCAGTGAGCTGAGACTCTGACATTTTGATCGTGGGAGCAGAGGGGAGTCGTCGGCGGAACTCATGGGTAAAACGACATTATTCCCGGGGAACGATTTCGGGACACTCGGGAGTAAGGATCTGGATCTTCGTCGAGCGAGAACAACCGACTCCATTTCGCGGAGACAGCTCGGTGCTGCGGAAGACGTGCGACCTCCGGCGGGAATAAGAAATCAATGGACTATGATGAATTTAACGTACCTGCTCGAACATAGGGAGCCAATTGTCCGCGACCGGAGCCGCGACTCTCACTGCAACGTGCAGCGGCGTGTCGCCGTTCATGCCGACGGCATTGACGTCGGCTCCGTGACTCAGGAGGAGGATCACACAATTGACTCGGTTCTTAGCTACAGTCGTGTGAAGAGCCGTGTCGTCCCGAAAGTTCCTTGCGTTTAGATCGCATCCATGCTCGATCATTGACTGCAAGACCTTGAAGATCGCAGTCGGATGAGATTTTCCATGCTATACCCGCTATCACGTTTTATTACGTACGCGTGAGTTTATTCGACACTCACAGCGGTGCTTTTGGCCCAATGCAGTGGAGTTCCTCCGTGTTTCATGTCTTCTTCTTGGAAGTTATTCGCATTCTCTTCGGCTTTTCCCCGTCCGAGGCTGCAATGTTGTTTTATTATATTCGCTTCAATTTCTCCAGGGTCGAGTCGTTGGTTGTAGAATAGAGTACCCAGCCTTCATTTATAGGAACAAGTTCGGTAGAATCTGTCGCGGATAAACAGTTTCGAGCTCGAGAGACCCAGCCTCTCTCAGACTGGAGAACACCAACTCACCACTTGGGATTTTCTCCATCCGGCTGTGTCCCGACTGAGGCGGAATTCACATCAGCTCCCTCTTTCAAGAGCTCTTTCACGCAATCTGCCCGGTCCATGAGGCACGCCAGTTGTAAAGGTGTATAGTCTTCCTTGTTCCGTTTGTTGATCAAGCTCGGGGAAACCGGCTTCGCTGAGAGCGACTGAGGGCCGAAAACATCAATGAGTGTTAGTGATGATCCTCTGCCGATTGAAAGATTGATGGTTTTATTCCGGGACGTACTTTTATGATATCTTTGGTCGTTCCAGCCGCGCAATGGTAGACCGTATCTCCATTGTAGTCTACGGCTTCGATATTCGCATCGAGTTGCACCAGAAGTTGCACAGCCGCGAGCTTCTGAGCTTTGATGGCTATGTGGAGAGGGGTTTGCTGGGTCTCAGCAGCCTTCGAATCGAGGGAGCTTAAGAGGAAAACACCGCTAAGCCCGAGCACGCTTACGAACGCGGATTCCCGGCATCGATAAAATGAACTTCCGACCTCACTTTCTTACTTCTTGAGTGACGGATGCTTTAGAACTTCAACCAGCCCCATGTGGGCAGCGACGTGTGCTAGGGACCATGAAGGATTCGTCCGTGAGAGATTCGAAACTTCCTGCACTAGTTCTTTCGTACTCTGATCACCAGAGCACTGAGAGAGGAGCGGCAATTTGTCCTTCAAGAGCGTGAACTGAATCTCCGCCACGTCCAGCTGATTGCTGCGGTAGACGCTGTAATTTATGCATTTCTGTTATTATCAAGTGCTCGAAACATCAGAGGTAGGTTCTCTCAGGTGACCTCGGGTAAAAGATTCACTAAGTGGAGATATCGCTCACGAAGGGCGCAACTTTCCATGACTAACCTCAGAGAATACGGACTCTTGGTCGCTTCTTTGTGCAGTACTATATCGTAACTGCGGTTGGGACTTTCAGCTGAGCTGTTTTTTTCACTCCCGTTCTCGGCGATTTCGTAGAGCACCAGGGATCCTTCCCGATATAAAACATGGCATTTGGCATAGTCGTCGGGTCGGACTTCCATGACACGGTACGGCTCCGAAACGCGAGCTGTGAAAATCCCGGAAGAAAAGAGATATATCTGGGACCTCGACTCGTGCCAGTGATTCACTATTGACAGACCTCGATTACTCACCGCCTCGCAAATTTCTCAGGATTTTCAATCCCAACGCCAACGCCATGTCTGGAGGGAGACGACTTCTTTGCCTGGAACTGATTTTCGGAAAAATTCCTCAAGTTAAAAATCATTCTTGGCCAATAGACATATCACTCGACGCGGGATGTCACTCCCGTAGATTCAGCGCCGTAGCGGTATCGCGAATTCATGCGCTTGGAATCCCCTCACAGGCGAAGCAAGGGTCAAAAGACATGTAGGGCTGCTGTTCAAGCGTAGAATGCCTCGCCGAGAAACATGATGAGCTCCTCAGATCGACGGCTCTTTGAAGGCATCGCGGGAGGGATGGATTACCCGGATCGATTGATCTTCTCCCAAAAGCCCAGAGACGGTACAGTCCGGACAGAGCCGTCGAGATCTCCATGAAAACGGCATCGCAAATTCCGTAGTGTGGGAATCGAGCTTCCCCGCGATTTCTGCGAGCGCTCTCTCGATACATAAGGGGTCTCAACCCACGTTTTCGTCGACAGTGGTCGCAAGGGCGCCGCGGTGTGCACGCCAGCGGGAAAGCAGGCAAGCAAGCGGTGCATCGAATCCCGACCGCCTCAGGGAGGGATTTATTCACTCCTACTCATTGTCAGGATTTTCGGAATCTCTAGAGATTCAGGGGTAATTTACGCATTCGAGCGTCGATCATAGGGTTCCCCGGAATCGTTGAGTTGAGGGTCGAGCTTCCAGGAGAAAGCGATCACCGAATCTTGGATGCTCACTTCAAATTCCCGACCTGAAGTCAAGCTCCCGACCTGAAGTCAAGCTCCCGACCTGAAGTCAAGGCTCCAGAGGAGCGATCCAGATGGCTCCCGCCCGAATTTCCGATTAAATTCGGTCAGCTCTCTGTGAACAGTCGTCATCCGCCAAAATGCTATTCTGCAAAATCGAGTGCCATCTGCTGCATGACCGAAAGGCCTCACGGCAGCGCGACGTTCCGCTGGATCTAACTGCTTCAGTTTCCCATGAATCGAGGGAAGATCTGCAGCGAATGAGTCACGATTTCTCATAGTTGAGAAAATCAAGAAAACTTTGTGATATCCCCCTTGGATGCTCAAGCGCCCGCTCTGCGCACAGGTTTCTCAGTGTCGCAGCAGGCACCATGTCGTTAACTGATACGAACAGTATTCCCGATCTTGCTAAAGGCGTGACAAGTCGATGTCGACAGAGTGCAATTCTCATCAATCTCGTCTGGGCAAATGTGGACGAATCTACGAGGCTTCAATTAGCGATTCCCCCTATGGGAGAACCCCCGTAGCACGTCGACGAAGCCTCCGTCTCGTTGACCGCTGCCATCCATTCTCCAGCTCTTTCTACGAAATCAGCTGTTCCTCAGTCTAGTGAAGAGCTCCCGTCGCGCGCTCCGCCTTTACCTCAACTTCGTCGGGTTGGAGTAGTTGTTCACGAGGCGCCGTTGGCGATTTTCACCACATCTTCTTCATGGTAGACTGCATTCACGTTTTGGAGGTGAACTACCCCGAGGAAAAAATTGCGGATCTGTCACAACAGGCTCTCTTTGGAATGGACTGAACGGCTGAGCGCTAGCCTCTGCTGTGCTACACGCAACAGACAGTCAGTCATCATTAGTCAGCCGCGGCGCGGAGAACCTTGCTCCATCACCGGATTGCCTTTAAGATCGGATTGATTGTGCGCGAAACGGCGAAGCCCGTCCCCGATTCGACCGGAGCCCTTCGATCTTATTCTGGGCTATGACTCCGGGACTTGAGAGGAAGGCATGATGTCGACCCCGTCTGGCCGCGGCAAGCTCCTTCCGCATCTGGGCTGAGTGGGGCGAGGAGGCTGACCCGGCCTGGGGAGGCTAGTCTTCCCTTGAGCTCCCTGCTGTGCGGTCGCGCTCCCGCCCCAGATCCTTCCCAGTTCAATTGAGTCATCTTTCCATACTCTAACATTAGGGCTCGACTTTCGTCGCGCTCCGTGACCGTGACCGCGATTTCCCGTCGCCCGGCGGGGCATTTCCCCACAGAAAGTCTATGGGAGCCTGGAAATGCCGCGAATTCCCGGCGAAGCCGCGACGAAATTCGAGCCCCATCTATCATCCAAGAGAGCCGCGGATTGAAGTAAAGTCATGTACGAGCATTCTTCACCTCAGAGAGAGTCCGGATCGTGATTGGTTCCCGCAGCAGATCAGTGTAAATCATCACCGAGACGTCTTTAGGAAGGAAATCGGCGAAGAGAAGCCGCGATATGTCGGATCTGCGAAGCACATCCGACATCGCACGGCAAAATTGGTACCCGGAGTCTCCGGATTGCATCGATGGAGAAATCCCGCCTGTCATATCGAATAGATGCGAGGCAGCGAACGGCAAAACTCCAATATTTCCGCTCTGTTTTCATTCTTGCCGTTGTAGGATGGACGCATTCGGTGGCATGCGGATTCCCACGTTGTTGAGTGGGCCTACTCCGGCTCGCGGTTGGAAAGGTTGCGCCAGTCGTTTTTCGGAGACTAGTCACGGGAGAAAGCTTGCGCTGTGAAACATCGATTCAACGATGGACCGGCTCCCGGAGAGTATAAATTTCGCCGGTGAAGAGCGGAAGGTTTTGGAGTATTGGAAAAAACTCGGCGTCTTCAAAAACTGTCTCAGACAGTCTAAAGGGAGACCTAGGTAAGTTCCTAGTCAGAGGCAAGAATGTGGTGGCAACTGTATCATTCTTCGCTGGCGGGTTCTTTGATGAAATTAGGCTCAGAGCATGACCATGCCTTACGTCCAGTGGCAGCTAGCGTCGTTCCGGCTCCGGAGACCCGGGCTACTGCCAAACAGCTGTTTGAGTCATTTGAGAGCCTCTCAGTAGTGAATCGTGAGAGGACGGAACGAGTCGCCGGAGAATCTTGCTACACTCGCACCAATTGGGGTCCTGGAGGACTCTGATAGTTGAAGGGTAGTTACACTCCACACGATGATTTTTTTCAGGTTCACTTTCTACGATGGACCTCCGTTCGCGACCGGCTTACCGCATTACGGTCATTTGCTGACGGGGACCATCAAAGACATAATACCGAGGTTCGCGCATCAGAGTGGTTTCCATGTCGAGCGGAGGTTCGGATGGGATTGCCATGGTCTCCCTGTAGAATTCGAGATCGATAAGGTGAGTCACTCCTCCGAAATACTGAAGTCAGGTGTCATGAATGAGATCTTGCTCGGGAGAATGATCTGAGCTTTTGTTCCGCAGTTGTTGGGTGTCAAGGGACCCGAGGATGTGGCTAAGCTGGGCATCGAGAACTACAACAAGGAATGCCGTAAGATCGTGATGAGATACTCAGAGGAGTGGGAGTCGACTGTTACCCGGATGGGGCGATGGATCGATTTCGAAAACGATTACAAGACAATGTATCCCTGGTTCATGGAAAGCGTGTGGTGGGTTTTCGAGCAGCTCTACAACCAAGGCTTCATCTACAAAGGTTAGAACCCGGCGGAGAACCACCCTTCGGAATGTCCACGGAGAGTCTTTCATATGCGGTCAGCTAATCAGCTTGGTCCTTGAAGGTGTCAAAGTCATGCCCTATTCGCCGACCTGCAATACACCGTTGTCGAACTTCGAAGCTGGTCAGAACTACAAAGAAGTCGTCGATCCTGCCATCACGGTGACCTTTCCCTTGGACGAGGATCCGAAAGTGTCTCTCGTCGCGTGGACGACCACCCCGTGGACCCTGCCGAGTAATGTTGCACTTTGCGTCAATCCAGAGCTCATCTACGTCACGGTAAAAACGATTGTCCGACTCGTTTTAGATTCCTTGTGTCCAAAAAGGTGGAGGTTGAGTGTTTCCGAGCTCTGAGGGCGACGTTTGAGCCAGAAATCCTTTCGGCGGGAATTTAGCGGAAGATGGATTGACGAGCCAAAACTTTCAGGTACAAGATACATCGTCGGGGGCGCTGTATATCATGATGAAAAGTCGGCTGTCGCAAGTCTTCAAAACTGAGGATGCCTACAAAATCCTCCGGGAATTCAAAGGCATAGAGCTCAAAGGCAAATCGTACAAACCTATCCTGCCCTACTTTGAGAAGCTCAAGGCGAAGGGTTCATTCCGAGTGCTGTGTGACGGCTACGTCACATCGGAAAGTGGTACCGGAGTCGTACATCAAGCACCATACTTCGGAGAAGACGATTACCGGTAGGTCCGAGCGGGGTTTCCTATCCGTGTGGATTCCGCTTTCAAATACATAGATGAATGTTTTGCTGCCGTGTCGAATGACTTCTCACGCCTGTATTCCGTCGCAGGGTCTGCCTTCTCAACGGAGTGATCACCAAAGATCAGGATATCGTTTGCCCATTAGATGCGGCCGGACGATTTGTAGATCCGGTCAGCGATTTCAAAGGGCTTTACGTCAAGGACGCGGACAAAAGCATAATTGCGAAATTGAAGAAAGACGGACGTTTGGTTCAAGCAGCGACAACGAAACACAATTATCCTTTCTGTTGGAGGTCGGATACGCCGCTCATTTACCGGTGAGATCAACTCGCAATTCGATTTTGACCGTGGACGTCACCCCATCGTCTCTGAGCACTCAATTCGACGCGGCTGATATTGATACTCACGTTGTTCTCTTCCTCCGCAGGGCCATCCCTTCTTGGTTCGTTCGAGTCGAACACATGAAGGAGAGATTACTCGCCAGTAATTCCGAAACATACTGGGTTCCTGAGTTCGTCAAGGAAAAACGATTCGGAAACTGGCTTCGCGATGCCCGAGACTGGGCCATTTCAAGAAACAGATATTGGGGAACTCCCATACCGCTGTGGATATCGGACGACGGCGAGGAAATGGTCTGTGTCGGCTCTATCGGGGAGCTCGAAAAACTCTCCGGTCAGAAAATCACCGATATCCATCGAGAGTTCGTCGACAAGATCGAGCTGCCCTCAGTAAGAGGCAAGGGGACTCTGAAGAGAGTTCCGGAGGTTTTCGACTGTTGGTTCGAGTCTGGTTCGATGCCCTACGCGCAACAACATTATCCGTTCGAGAATAAGAAAGAGTTCGAAGACGCGTTCCCCGCCGATTTCATCGCTGAAGGAGTCGATCAGACCCGCGGATGGTTCTACACGCTCATGGTCCTGTCGACGGCTCTCTTCGACAAGCCCCCGTTCAAAAATCTGATCTGCAGTGGTCTCGTCCTAGCGAGCGATGGCCAGAAAATGTCGAAGCGGAAGAAAAATTATCCGGACCCCCTGAAGGTTATTGACACGTACGGCGCCGATGCCCTGAGACTTTACATGATAAACTCGCCGATCGTCCGGGCCGAGAACCTTCGTTTCAAGGAAGAAGGTGTCAGAGACGTGCTCAAAGATGTGCTCCTGCCGTGGTACAACGCGCTCAGGTTCCTCTTGCAAAACATAGATCTGTTCGAGAAGAACTTCAAGACGTCTTTCGTTTTCGAGGAACCAAAAGGGGTAGAGAACACCATGGATAAATGGATTCTTTCGTATGCCAACAGCCTGGTAACGTTCCTGAAGACCGAGATGAAAGCTTACAGACTTTACACAGTGGTTCCTCGACTACTGAAATTCATCGACAACCTCACCAACTGGTATGTGCGGATGAATCGCAAACGGCTCAAGGGCGATGGCGGCAGGCAGGACTGTCTACAGAGCTTGCAGACGCTTTTTTCGGTGATTTTCGTTCTGAACCGTCTCATGGCTTCGTTCACGCCTTTCATCACTGAATTCATGTACCAGTGCATGAAGCAGTACGTCCCCAAGAACTTGAGCCAGGATTCGATTCATTACATGATGCTCCCCGAAACCGATGAGTCTCTGATCGACGACGCCGTCGAACGTCGAGTGACGCGGATGCAAAGCGTCATCGAGCTCGGTCGGGTTCTGAGAGATCGAAAAACGCTCCCGCTGAAATACCCATTGATGGAAGTCGTCGTGATCCAAAGAGAACGAGAATACCTGGATGATCTGAGGGTGATGGAGAATTATATTCTCGAGGAACTCAACGTCAGGAAATTAACAGCCAGTAGTGACAAACAAGCCTTCGGTGTTTCAATGAAGGCCGAACCCAATATCAAAACTCTCGGCCTGCGTCTGCGAGGGAAATCCAAAGAAGTCGGAGACGGAATCCGAGCTCTTAGCGACGCTGAAATCGAAGCTTATCTCAAGGGTGAAACGCTGAGAGTTCGCGGCGAGGAGCTGCAGGCCGGAGACGTCCAGATTCGGGTTCAGTATTCGGGAGAAAATCTGGACAAGTACGAGGCTCATTCAGAGGGCGATGTTCTTGTTCTGCTCGATGTGCAACCCGACGAAGAAATGATGAACGAAGGCATCGCGAGAGAAATAATCAACCGCATTCAGAAGATGCGTAAAAAAGCACATCTGGTACCTACTGATCCCGTCGCTGTTTTCGTTAGTGCGAAACCCGAGAATGGTGATATCGCGAGAATGCTCAAGTCCCACTACGATTTCATTAAGAACGTGTTGAGAACTCCTTTGTCGGTCGGTCCCGCTGACGCATCTTTGGAACTCATAGAGAGGGGAAAGGAGACCATCAAGGACAGTGAATTGACCATTACGTTCTGCTTACCTGCGGGTGCCCGAAGGAGAGAAGATGCGAAACCCGTCCCGGTTTCCTCAGGCAGCAAAATCAACGTGAGCGACGGTATTTCCGTTAGATACGCCAACGTGGAATTCAATGGAAAGAAGGGCACGGTCCCCTTAGAGAACCCAGCATCGAATTCCGTCGACACCAAATGGCTCACGAAATTGTTGTTCGACGCAGAGCTATCGAAGCTGAACTCCTCGAAAGATAAACCGTGGTGTCCATTCGTGAACGTTCATGTAGATGGCAGGAGAGGCGTCCTCTTCCTAGAGAATCCAATTGGTGAACGTAGGCTGGCTTATGGAGATCTTCAAGAAGCTATCCGAACGGTTTTCAAAATTTCGATGTTCAGAGCTATTGAAATATTTGTTGACGACGCATTGACGCTTCCTTTCCGCGCGGAGCATCTTGTGAACGGTAGCAACATCCATGTGAAGGTTATTTATAAATGAAACGAATCTGTACGATTTGAGGGAGATCGCTTGACTGCCCGTGTTGAGAATAAACGACTCGGTTGTTGATCTCAGAGGAAAAACGAAGACGAGGACGTAATCGATCATTCCTCGAGCTCTTCACAGCTCGTCCTGTACAGAACAACAAGAGCGCCTCTCGAGGATCTGCCCAAAGTCGATTCGGTGTCATCTAGTCTTCTCGACATCATTGGAATGGAATGACAGTCCGGATGTCTCGTAGTGGCATTCCGGATTTCTTCTTTGCATCCCTCCAACCTGAGCTGTCCGGAGCCTTATCGCTGTTGGTTCCAAAACGGCTTTCCCCATGACCGCATCCAGTGCTGAGCGACGAACGAGAGGATTCGCTCATTATGATCTCGATCCAGAGTTCTCTATCGGCTCCTTTATTCAAATGAATCGATCCAAGAATTCCGGCCTTCGAATCGCTGTGGAGATCCATGTGATTTTTCGGCATGATTCATGGATTCTTCGACATGGATCTAGGGCTGGTCATTCATCGCGCTGAGTTGCTCCCGAGCCCACATCATCCCCTCTCTTGGAGAACAGGTTTTCTTTTGCGATGGTGCAATGGTAAAAAGGCGATTCGCGCTCGAATGCGACCTAGATGGGTGGAAATAGAGCCCCATTCGACTCCGATGAGACGAAAATCCGGCTCATTTCTGCGATCCATGATCCACGCTGCGGATTGCCTCCATCCACTATAACAGCAATGAGCCAGCTGGTCTCGTAATCTCGCTGCTGTTCTCAGCAACCGTGCTAGGCGGAGGACACGTCATCGAACCCCGGATGAGACTTGACTGTCTCATTTCCCGTTTCTCTATGATGGGGAATGCATGATGCTAATCGAGGGAACGCGGGCCGCCTCGAGCGCCCAAATGGAGTACAGTCGAACCCGCTTATAAGAAAACCGGTTAAGAGAGAAAACCGGATATAAGAGACCGATCCCGATTCCCCGATTTTTTCTCCATAGGGCTCCATGTTGAAAACCTCGCTTATAAGAAACTCGGATATAAGAGAAAACCGGATGTAAGAGACAATTTTCAAACCCCAGTCCCATAGAGTTCCATGTTGGAGACCTCCTATATAAGAGAGAACCGTCTCAAGTAGAATTTCTGTTTGCTCTTCCATGACTCCTCTTCCTCTCGGAACCTGCGCGAATGAGATAACACGCCAGTTCGATAGTATCATTGCTCCGAAAATGATCGTCTCTCCACAGGATCATGATACCGGCATCCGAGTCATACGATAACGAGATGTTTCGGGTCTTTTCATCGAAAGACCGTACCTCGGATATTAGAGAAACCGGATATAAGAGACCATTTTCAATTCC